GCCATTTTCTCACTTTTTCTCTCAGCGCACATCTCTCTATTCTTCAATCTCTCATTTTTTTATCCCTCTCCTGGGTGGTTGGTGGATAAACAGAAAGTTGCGGGGTCTTGCCTCTAGCATTTCGCTAGATTCTTCTTCTCGTTCACAACAGTGAGTTTCTTCCATAGAGGGGCTGCACTACAATTGGGTGTATAGCAAATCTACGGCTGACATCGGTTGACGGTGCTCTTCTGGGAAGTATAAAAGGGAAGAAAGACGTGGGATTGGGAGACATACACACACTCACGCACACTTATTACACAATTGCCCTCACTCGGAGGGTCCGAATAAATATTACAAACCACCTAATTAATTAACTCTCAAGCTACATAATTAATTACAAAAATTTCTAATTAATTAACAAATTAAATGCGGAAGAAAGGTGGCCACAGCCCCGCCTCGGGATGCGTGAATGATGCATACTTGACTCGCCTTGCTTGGAAACCCGTGCCATGCGACTGTTGCCTCTGTTTACACTGCTCTGCTCCAAATGTGACTTTTTGAGACGGCATAACTTGCTGTCGCCAAAAAATGTGACTTTTTGAGACGGCACAACTTGTCGTCGCAAAAAATAGAGTATTTGTGACGACAGAAATTGCTGTTGTAAAAAAAAAATAGAGTATTTGCAATGGCAGAGATTGCTGTCGCAAAAAAAAAAAAGAGTTTTTTGCTATTGTAATACGTACCGTTGCAAAATAAAATAAAATATATATATATATATATATTGTGGCTTTGAGACAGCTTCATATATATATAGTCATAAAATGGTTTAAATAAATGCAACGGTATTTTTCTGTTACAAAAAAAAAATAAAAACGACGTCGTCTTACTCTTTTGAACATTTCTCTTTTCACCAATTTTTCCATCTTTCTATCTCTCTTCTCTCTATCTCTCGCACTCATCACTCTTCTTTGTCTCTCTATGTCTCTGTCTCTCTTCTCTTTCTCTCTCTCACTCATCACTCTTCTCTGTCTGTTTGTCAGCCTCTCTTTCTCTCTGTGTCTCTCGTCCATCTTTCTTTTCTTTATCCGTCTCATCTCTCTTCTCTTTATCTCTCTCGCTTATCTCTCTATGTCTCTCTTCTGCTTATCTCTTTTCGCTCTCTCTCTCTCTCTGTCTATATCTTTTTATCCATTTTTTCATCTCCATCTTTCTCTTCTCTCTCTCTCTCTCCCTCTCTCTCTCTTACTCATCACTCCTCTCTCTCTATTTGTCTGTCTATTTGTCTCTCTCTCTCTCTGTGTCTCTCACTCATCTATCTTTTCTCTCATCTCTTTTCTCTCTCTGTCTTTTTCGTTCATCTCTCTTCTCTTTATCTCTCTCGCCCATCTCTCTTCTCTCAATCTCTCTCATCTCTCATCTTTCTCTGTCTCTCTCGCTCATCTCTCTATCTTTCTCTCTGTCTCTCTATCTTTCTCATTGTCTCTCTCGTTCATCTCTCTTCTCTCTATCTCTCTCTGTCTCTCTCGTCTATCTCTCTTCTCTCTGTCGCTTTTCTGTCTCTCACTCTCACTCTCTATCTGTATCTCTATCTCTTTCTCTTTCTCTTTTTCTCTCTCTCTCTTCTCCACTATGTTTGCGTTGCTCACTCTCTCCCTCCTGTCTTCTCTATTTACTAAGCTCCCTCTCGATTTATCGATCCACTACAAGAAAATGCACTTTTAGTGACCACTTTGTCTCTCTCTCGCTCATCACTCTGTCTCTCTTTCTCTCTATCTTTCTCTTTTTCTCTCTCTCTCTTCTCCTACTATGTTTGCGTTGCTCACTCTCTCCCTCATGTCTTCTCTATTTACTGAGCTCCCTCTCGATTTATCGATCCACTATAAGAAAATGCACTTTTAGTGACCACTTTGTCTCTCTCTCGCTCATCACTCTGTCTCTCTTTCTCTCTCTCTCTTTCACCTTTATCTGTCTCTCATTCATCTCTCTCTCACCACCCATCTCCTCTACTACCTTCACCACTACTACAAACGCCATTCCACCACCACCACTACTTCCACTGTCGCCACTTCACCTCTACGACTACCATGACTACTACCATTGCCACCACTCCACTACCACCACTACTACTACTACTATTACCTCTCATCCACCGCCGCCACTCCATCTCCCATACCACTACCACAACTTCATCACTAATCTCCTTCGCCATCACCACCATCATCACCACCTCTTATCCATCACTTTCACCACTACTGTCGCTCCCTTTCCTCTACTACAAAAAATTTGTTTGGTTATGATTTTTTAATAGAGTGTTGAATTGAGTTTTGAATTGTATGTGAAATTGAGTTTTGAAAGTTTGATGTGACATGTGAAATAAAAAAATTTGTTTGGTGATGAGTCTTCAAAATAGTTTTTAAAACTTAATTGAACATATAATTGATAATCAAACACACAACTCATAACTCGATATCCATGTATTTTTGATCAACAGTCATAACCAAACTATTTTTAAAATACTCACATAAAAAAATGTTTTTTTTTTCAATTAATTATTTTTAAGTAATTTTTTTGAATATTTTTTTTTTCAAATCATTTTTTTTTTCAAACAACTTCTATGTCAATTATTTTCTGTCAATTAATTTTTTTGTCAATTAATTTTTTAAGCCTGTATGAACATTAAAAATATTAAAAATATTTAAAAAATTAAATAGTAAGAATATTTAAAATATTCCAAAAATCTAAACCTGACAAAACCTCAATTTCCCCTTTTTTTCCCCGTCTTTCCCCCTTTTTTTTTTCATTTCCTTTCAGGTTTGTAGACCTAAGTTTCGGAGCCCTAACTTTCGAAACAACAGTGTCTCTCTCTCTCTCTCTCTCTCTCTCTCATGGAGGCGACGACGAGCGGCGATAGTGGTGGCTAGCGACGATCGGCGAGCGGCGACAATGGCGGCGAGCAGGGATCGAATCATCGATTCGAAGGTATTCTTCTCTTCTCTTCTTCTCTGCTCTTCTCTTCATTGCTCTATGAAATTTGGACCCCTCTCTCTCTGTTTTTGATTTGGACCTCTCTTCTCTTGTCTTCTCTTCTCTTCATTGCTCTATGACATTGGGAAGTGAATGTGAAGAAGATGTGAGATGGCTTGACAGTGGTCTGCAGGAGGCTATGGATATTTTGATCAAGTGCTGTGAAAATTTGAAAACTAAAACAAGGGATGTTATGAAAATCACAGAATCTATTAAAATGTAAATCAAATTAGAAAAATTGATGTTAGTCAATTTAATTTTGATGAAGTGTTGTGGTGATGTTGAATTAGATGGACAAGGCATCCATAATCAAAGATGCAATTGACTACATCCAAGAATTGCATGAGCAAGAGAGGAGGATCCAAGCTGATTTAATACAGCTTGAATCTGGAAAATTGAAGAAAAATGCAGTTTTTGACTTGGATCAAGAGATTCCAACCTTGTCAAGACTCAAGAAAAAGGGAATTGATCATAGTTATGATTCAAGGAGATCAACCACTTCTTCCATTGAAGATCTTGAAGTAAGTCTTTGATTAAGATTTGATTAATAATTGTTTAGTTTCTGGATAATTTTGTTTTGGTTAGTTAATTTGTTCATAATTTATACTATTTTAAAAAAAATGATTTTTTAAAATTACTCTTTGATAATACATTTTTTGGAGAATATCAATGTTATAATTATATTTTTTATGTTGTTAATGAATTTAAAAGAATGACAAAATAGAAAATTTATATTATTTTTGTACTTGATTTTTAAGAAGGAATTAATATTTTGGGATAATAAAAAATAAAATAAAGGACTAATATTTTGGGACAGAGAAGTTCTAAAAT